ACGCCAGAATTAATATGTAATCCTATTGTTATGTGTGGTTTACGTTCGAAACGGATAAATTCAAATTTGTGGCTCGGGAATATGATTATTGTGTCGTGGCTTTTACGAATGAATAGATGAGAAAGACGCACTTGAGGGAATTTGTTTACGGTCGGGCTGCAGCTGGCTTATTGAAAATGTAAAGGAGATAGTGATTAAAGATGATTTTGTCTACTCTTCCTGAAAAGAATCATTTGTTGGTGGCTCATACGTTTATTACTCAAAAAGTAACACCAAGAGAAATTTACTGGTGGATTACGGTTTGACGAACACGCGGAATATACATCAGGTAGCAGTGCGTTCTTTGCAATCAAAGCTATAACAAAATGTTTATTCCACCACACATATGGCAGTTTGATAAAAATCTTCTGTTACAGTATTTACAGTATTGAAATCAAAACGTATCACTTGGTTTTGGGTGCGTCTATTTTCTCTAATGAATACATACATGTTCCCTAGGCTTCAGAAAAAGCGCCAAGAGTGACACAACAAATATTATGTAATCGTAGTAGTATTAAAATAATTTATTAAAAAAATAGAATTTATTAAAAATACAAATTAAATTTATTTTTTTGGAATTGATTTATGGAAGTAACAAATATTTATTTCAATGATTTTCCATGAAAAAAATAAATACATACAATATGTCTAAAATATTTTTTTATAAGTAAAAATTAAATAACAATGCTTATACAGTAAAAAGGTAAAACAGTTAAACATCTAACATCTTACAAATTTATTATTTTTTACTGTATATTATTTTTTGTTTACAGAATATTCAAAACACAGTACAGTATATCCGTTAATTATAATTATGATTAAACAATTTATAATTATTATAAAAAAATTCGTTTATATTATATTTTGAAACAATAAATATTTTTGTAATAAAATTTTTTTTTATGGTGATAAGATAGATATACAACCGATTGCATAAAATTCTATTTTTTCTTTAAAATGCATACAATCAATATGTTAAAAGACGTAATCGCAATTGTACAAGATTGGTATCCCGAGAATTATTGGTTAACATGTGAATTTTGTTTTTTTAGATATGATTGCCGTAGATGGTATTCCAGGAACGACCTTAAAACTTAAAGAATCCAAGGAAACTAGACTATTAAAAGCAAATACGAAATCTTTCTTGAGATCATAGTATCACGAAATCCCGGATATTATGTTACCCGGTGTAAATACGCAAACTAATTATTCGAACCCATTTGTAAAATGAGTTTACCATTATTTGTGCATCTAAATTTTTTTAATACGACATTTTTGCGTTCACCAGTAAATTCTCTAACTTGTAATGCCATTATTGAATAGGAAATGCACATCCTATTAGAACAGATTTATTTCCTAAAAATGGCAAAAAAAAAAAACAAAAAAAAAACGACTCTTTTAACCCTTGCATATAAAGTTCATTTAATTTGTATTACTGTATATTACTAATAAAGTTCTCAAAGCTACTCAAAAAATTTTATCAATTCTCGCTTGTTAACTTTTCCCATTGCGTTCCTTGGTAATTCATCAACAACTTTTAACATGGTGGGAACCTTATATGACGCCAACTTCGTTTTGCAAAATTCTCTCAAATGCTTCAAATCCAATTTTAATCCCTGTTATTCATCGGTAAATTAAGTTAATATTAGAGATAACATATTTTCGTCATAATAATAAAATTTCTACTTGCGGGATCTCTGAGCACAACCAAAGCAGCAACTTTTTGTCCCCACTCGTGATCTTCGATTCCAATGACAGCGACTTCCAAAATGTTCGGATGCGACAACAATTCATATTCAACTTCAAGTGCCGATATTTTATAGGCTCCTGACTGGAACAGTGTCAAATTAGGAGGTCAAAAAATAAATCGACCAAAAATAAATTGACCAAAGATACCTTGATAATGTCAATATTGGATCTTCCGTGAATCTTAAATACCTTCTCTTTATCGGTTTTGATAGCCACATCGCCCGTCTTGAACCTTGAACAACATTTAAAAGTTCACGGTGACATTGCTAAAAAAAAAAAAAAAAATCTGTATGACGTACCATCCGCCCTCGGTAAATTCTTTACTGGTTGCTGTGGGTTTATTCCAGTATCTGCATTTATTATGAGTAGATATGCACATATTCAACAAATTTTCTCGGGCAAAGTAAATATATTATTAAAGGTTTACTCTTTAAACACGCCAGGTCCTTTGATCTGTAATTCTCCTGGTTTTTCAAGCGTATCAGTAATATCCTTTCCATCTTCTGATATCAATCTCACTTGAAC